TCTAGTTTCAGGATTCGAAGATTTTTCATACATAATAAATATTGTTAAGCTTCGATAGGGTTTTCGTTTCGAAGAAAAACAACGTTTCCTTTAATTCAGTGGTTGAAAAGTTGACCTCTGGCTACAAATTACCGAACTACCGTACGGTGTTAGCAACATTGTCTCGAAGACAATGATTCTCAAGAACAACTACGGACCATGCTGTTAACAACAATACTGTTCTTTCAGAACGGATGACGCCGTCGCGTGACGGGAAGAGGTCGGAAGAGGCTCCCGGGGAGCTCGCGAGAACTTCTTTTGAACACCTGGACCCAATCGTAGAAGAAATCTGATCGAGATGTCTTGCGTCGGGGTGCCCCGGTACGAGGACGGCTTCCGGTTGGCCGGGCCAGCTTCAGAATGCTCTCTGAGGAGCAAGGCTCGCATCGACGCCCTCTTCGAGGACTCAAGGTGCCATTTTCGTAATAATTGATTTTCATTTTTTTCCCAGAAAATTGGAGCAGCTGTTTAGAAACGGGCGAGCCGGGTAATAAATAAAATAAATAATAATAATAATAATAACAATAATAATAATAATAATAATTTCCTTCAAATACTAAGTAAATAAATAAATAGATAAAAATGTTTGCGACACAATTCTGGGTCTCGAGATTTTTATCAAATAAATAAGTAAAGATCGATTGTCGATCGAAAGCATTGACAATTTGGGGATAGGGAAGCCGTTAGCTTTAATAACAAAAGCTGGACTGTTCCAGATCAATTTACGGATCGAGCATGGGCGGTTGGTACGGTGCAGTGTCCACCATGAACTCTCACAACCTGGACGAGGCAGGCGCTGATGAACAGAGGAGGGTGAACAGCGCGGTGCAGGCCCGGATCGAGGCGATGTTCGCGTCCGTGGAAGCCGAAAGCGGAACACCCGGGGAATGCGCGGCCGCCATTTTGCCGGTAAATATACAAATTACTTTCTTCTTTATTTTTTACCGGTGCGTTTGTGTGTCAGTGAACAGCCGGTTCTCGAGGCAACGACACCGATCCGCCAAAGTGGCTAGACTACTTTTTTCATCCCCCCCTACCGGTGCTCGAATCAAAATCGCGACCATGATGCACACGGGAAAATCATCGTACTTCTTTCATAATAATTGCTTGTATATTTTTGCACGTTCGTTTTATTTCGTCTTGGTCTCGAAATATTCGAAATATCTTGAAATTTACGAATACACGCTGCTCGAAAGAATTGTAGCATGGGAAAATTTTAAATAAAAATTGATCAACTTCGAGTAACGATAACTCCGCGAAAAATCATCGCAGGATGATGATTTTTTCTTTATATTAAAGCTTGAAACCTCTACTTTAAGATAGTATTACTAGACTTTAAGTTTGTTACACCCTCGCCGCTGTAACCCTTTTAAAGCAGGGCCGTGTTTGTCATATTGAAAACTGCCAAGTTTGACGAAATGCACGGTCTTTGTAAAATTTTTTTCGGAAATGCCGTTTGCAGTGGAATTAAGTCTGATTCTTTTCCTTTAATTTAAAAGAACAAAAACATGACTGCGATTTTTTTTCGCAAAGTTACAGCACTTTAAAAGTGACCTTCGAAATTTCAATATGACAAACATGGCCTCAGTCTTAAAGAGTCACAGTGGCAACGATGCATTGAACCTAAAATCCGGAAAAGTAGTCTTAAAGTAGAGATTTCAAGCTTTAATTTAAAGGAAAAGTCATCACGCTACGATGATTTTTCGCGGAGTTATCGTCGGTCAAAGTTGGCCAATTTTTATTCAAAATTGTTCTATGCTATAAAAGTTTCTCGAGCGGTGTATTTTAATTGTCGCTAAAATTGCAATCTAAAAAGCGAATACACGACGATTAATTATACTCGTTAAAAACAGTGAACTGCTCAAACACTAGAGAAAATGGTTATCGAACGTTTATCGAGCGTGGCAATCTTGGCGAAATAAAATCGCTGTCGAGGTTTAAAATACCATTCTTTGCTCGGCATTGTTCCCGGCCGCTGGAATCAACGAAATCCCAAAGATTTCACTGCAATTAGATAAGATCTGAAAAATGGTGATTTTCACTTATGTTAATTCGATCGCTAGTCCCCGTCCTCAGAAAATCTCGCGCGGGAACCCATTCGTTCCACTCTTGAGACGGGGTCCGCTCCTCTCGACGAGGGATTCACCTACTTTGCCGATCGAATCGCCGCCGATCACGCACCGATCGCATACTTTTCTAACTAAACTATTAGTCTGCATTATTTTCTGTAATTTAAAGAGCAGTTAGCACGTTTCATTAATTATAATAACAGTAATAATAATAATAGAAAACCGCACCGTAGTAATATCTGCAAGAAGAATTGCACCAAAACATTCATTAAAAATCTTAAACATCGAAACGTTAAACTAGCCGTACACAAACCATACGAGAAACCATAATTCTGAAAATATAATAATATTGTGAGAACCTTCGTAAATAGCAAAACCATTCGATAGAAAAACAAAGAACGAGCCTAAATATTACCCTAAAGTCAACCAGCAACAGCTGAGAGACAAAATAATAATAACAATAATACAGATATAATAACAGCAATAATAGTAATAGCAACAATAATAATAATAGCAATTAGAATTATAGTAATATTAATAATAGTAAAAGCAAAGATGCACACGCGACCGAAAGCTTTAACAATTATAAAAACGAGGTGCAAGCCTCTCCTTAAATTGTCCATTTTTGTTTACAAGCTGAAGGAAAATTAGGGAAAATTACTGGTTAAATTAATGGCCAATCATCGTTCGTAAGAGACAGTTAATAATTATCGATTTCTTAATGGAGAATTCGAAGGATATTTTCAAGGAATTCGAAGGACTTTTTTATCGAATTCGAAGCACCTTTTAAAAGAATTTTTTAAGAATTGATTTTATCGTTTATTTATGATTTATTCAGTATTATTATTTTACTATATTTTTGTATTTTGGGATGGACTTAATTCAAGACTTAAATTCCTACTTCAGTCGTTAATTACAATTTAATCGATTTTATACTGATCTTAATGATTTATTTGCAAAAAAGTAAATCGAAAACTAACGATTGAATGGTTGCTATTGTTGAAATAGCAACATTACGCGAGTGCGCCCGTAGGTTGCCTTCCTGCCGAGCGTTGAAGTCTCTAGAAACGAGTTCTCGCGCGACTGTGCACCTTCCTTCCAGGCGTCGAAGTCTCCGGGGCGAGATCGCGGTTGCGACCACTGCGAGATGTCGCGATAACAGAGAAATGAATGCAACCTCGATCGCCGGTGTATCGCCGCAATTTACGGCGGTATTAACAAAGAAAAAAAGCGGCGGGGAATCGAGGCTGTCCCGGGCGGAAATAAAATTTAGATCGGTGTATAATTAGTCGTGAACTGATTGCTCGAAAAGAAGATGACCGCGTTCGAGAGACTCCCAGGGAGAGGTAACGGGGCGGAAATGATCCTGCGATTCGCGGACAAAACTTCTCAGCGATTTGGATCGTGAAAAATGCGTTAATAAAATAATTAAGGCGACTTAACCTAATTTTTAATCGGATTTATGTTATTTGTTTGCGGGCTCTAATTCCTTTGCATGCAGTTAATATAAAATATATGCCTATAATGAATCTGTAATATGTCTACGATATATAAATGTGAAATATATATGAAATATAAATATATAAACTATGGAAATAAATAATAAACTAAGTGAACTTAAACTTAGAACGAAATGAGCTCAAACTTGACAAATTGACGGCCGGAATCCGCGTACACGTGGTTTCGCGAACATTTCAATTATAAAAATCGATTCGGTGCAGTTTTTTTTATAAATCCATCATAGTTATATTTTTAACAAAATTTATCCTGCTGATATTATTAATAAAGTTATTTATTAATAAGTAATTGTACTGTTAAAACGACTGTCGCGCCAAGACCTCAAAAATTTCATAAAATTCAAATGTCTCGTTCAATTTAATTAAAATTGAAAGGTTATATGACGTTAATTACTTTTTCAACATCCTCACCCCTTGCAAATGTTAATATCATTAAAAGATTATATCGGACTAGGGTAAAAATTAAGTTCTTAAAGCTTTTAAAAACTAAATTGTTATTTATTATTTATTCTCACTTAATTACACAATTATGATATATTTTTGTCAGAGCGTTCACAGAGTATTTTCTTCATTTATTTATTTTGTTCGGGAGAGTTTGCGAAATGTTTCAAGCGCGAATATGGGAGTCCGCGTTTTCGCGAGCAGACGGGTATCTTCTTTCAGCTTGTTCCCGCACCGTGGAAGATAAGGCCGAGGTTCGCCGAAAGATAACAGCGGCCTCGGACTTTCCTCGGGCGCGGCACAGAGCGCTGCGTCGTTCTGGCATTCTTAATCGTCACTTTCGTTCCGTTCACGATTCACAGAGCGTGACGGGCTACCGAGCCTATTTGGAGCATTGAAAAATTCCCCTTCGTTGCCGCATCGGCACGCGGATTTTTCTTATTGCCCCGGTTTTATGGCCGATCCTCTTCTTCCGCATCGTTTCGTTGCGCCATCGATGATACCTCCCATGCAAAGCCGAGTTCAATAGAGTTCATGTCTGCTCTCTCAACAGAATCCCCGCCAGCAGTTTTCTAAAAGCTACCTAAATAAGGGATCCGTTCGAGCGTGACCTGTTTTTCTCGAATTCTATCGGAATGCGCTCTTCTTGTCGAATGTTTCAACAGAAGAAAGATATCTTTTCGATTATCGCTTTCGATCTTCCGATATTCGCAGATCATTCGTAAGGAAAATAAATTCCAATAGATTTTTACAATATAAAATTATATGGGAATTTGATCAAATTTAAATATTAATTCAAAATCTTTTTACTTAAATTTTCTATAGTAAATCTTTATTATAAGTTACCCTTATACTAAACATTTATCTAATTTATCTTCGTAATTTTCAATTAAGTAAAATTTCTGTTAAAGATCAATTATAATTGATATTATTCAAATTTGAATTTAACATATAATAAGACAATATAAAGAATTGTTCCATTAATATTAAATCTGCGTTACAATTCAATCCTACGATAAAAATTTATCTGATCAACATTGTGCCCATTTAAAAAAAATTAAATTAGACTTCTATTAAAAATTGATCGTAATAAAAAATCCATGTCGGAAATTATTGAAATTTAAACATAACCCCATAATAAAATAATAAAAAAAAATCTTCTTAATTAAATGCATAAATCAAACCTTAATTATAACATCAGTATCGGCGAAATAACAACCGATCAACGCTAATGACCACCGCAAAAGGGCGGAAAAATCATTTGATATTACTGTCAATTTTCTAACCAGCTCAGAACAATTGGATTATGCACTTGTACACCTAATAAATAAATAAATACCTTTTCACACCTAATAAATAATAAAAAATTACCTTCTTTCGTACAGCCCCGTAATAAATAAATACTTTCTCCGTAGTCGTACTGAAAAATCCGAAGCAGCGCAAAAGCAACCGCAAAGATATCAAAAAATTGTTTCCGGTTTTCAGGTGAAATACTTGGGAGCAGCTCCCGTTGGTGGCCGCGTGGCGAGCGTCCGTGGCCTTCAGGAGCCTCTGAGACATCTCCTGGAGCGAGTGGAGTACTCGACGAGAGCGGAGCTCGAGGTCTCGAGACGGGGCCTGAGTTTCCGCACGACGGACGGCTGCGAGAGGAACAATCCGTTCCGGAGGATCGCCGTTTGGAGCGCGCTGAGGCTTCGAACGAAGAAAACGCAGTCCGGCGACGTGCATCACGCTTTCCTGCCATTGGTCGGCGATCAGGATCAGGGCCAGGCCGGAGAGGACAAGCACGCGGATCTCTACAGGCGAGTGTCGCTATCGAAAGCCGGAGAAATTAATTGGTCGCCTGTCTCTTGCATTAATCGTCGGTCTCTCGAATTAATGGTCAGATCTTTGTGCGCATGCGAGTGCCGACGAGACCGTACTCGCTTCGAGAAATCGACGCTTCTCGCTGTAAAACATTTATGACTGTCTCTGGATCCGGTTGCACTCGCTGCGACCTTGATTCACCCTCGTTCGACCCTAATTTTCACTGATAATCTGGAAATCCTTTCTACGCCAGAAGTGCCATCGATGCGACACATTTTGTTCAGGAGAAGATAAAGCAATTAAACGTCCTATCCAATTCTAGTTTAAAACATTCGAAAGATCGTTCATTTTACTAGAAAAATGCATAGTGTCAATGAGTTCCTACTATATTTACTTGCTTTATTTTTAATTCATTTAAAAAGTGTATTTTGTCTGGCAGCTGCCATGTATGGGTCGCTTGTTTAGGACAAGATTAAAAAACAATGAAACATCCCATTTAATTCTAGTTTAAAACATTCGAAAGATCGATTTTTTTACTAGAAAAATGCATAGTGTCAATGAGTTCCTACTATATTTACTTGCTTTATTTTTAATTCATTTAAAAAGTGTATTTTGTCTGGCAGCTGCCATGTATGGGTCGCTTGTTTAGGACAAGATTAAAAAACAATGAAACATCCCATTTAATTCTAGTTTAAAACATTCGAAAGATCGATTTTTTTACTAGAAAAATGCATAGTGTCAATGAGTTCCTACTATATTTACTTGCTTTATTTTTAATTCATTTAAAAAGTGCATTTTGTTCGACAGCTGCCATGAATGGGTCACTTGTTTAGAACAAGATAACAAAAAAATTAAACGTGCTATCTAACTCTAGTTTAAAACAATCGAAAGATCGATTCTTTTACTACAAGAATACACAGTGTCAACGAGTACCTTTTATATTTACTTGATTTATTTCTAATTGATTGACGACATTAGAACTCTCTCGCATCCGAAATATCCCAGCCAAATTCACTCTGTTTAAATACACAGGGTGTCCCAAAAATGTCTCTCAATCCGGAAATAGGGGGTTCCTAAACTCATTCGAAGATACTTTTTCCTTAGCGAAAATGCAATCCGCGGCTTCGTTCACGAGTTATCAACGAAAAACCCTGACCAATAACAGGCGAGCTCGGCTGCCGCGAAGCGGCTCGGCCAACGAGCGCACAATGCCCACTTCCGCTCATTGACTGGGCCGCCTCGTACCCCGCCTCGCGCTCCGCCCCGCACCAGCTGATCTCGCCCCTCATTGGTCCCTGTTTTTCATTAATAACTCGCAAACGAAGCCGCGGATCGCATTTTCGCAAAGGTAAAAGTTGACCTCAGGAACTCCTCATTTCCCGGAAGTACCACAATTCTGTAACACCCTGTATTACGATGAACACAAATTTTCAAAATTATTCAAAACTGATTACTTCTCCTCTACAACGTGAACCTATGATTTTCAGGTCGATGCGAGGCCTAGAGCCGTCCACAGAAAGGTATCCCCCCGTGTTCGCGGTGGTGATGCGTCGGCCAGGTGCGACCAGGGTGTTGGAGTGCCACGCGTTCGCTTGCGAGACGGAGGAGGACGCGGTCGCGGCGGCAGCGACCCTGTACCGAGCTCTTCTGGCCGACCTGGACACGAATCGCCGTCGTCCTCGGCACGCGAACGGCGTCGGTTGCGTCAGTTTAGCATCCGTTGCGTCCAGCGTGCGGGAGATGAGCGCTGGGAGCAGAATGAGCACCAGGACGAGCGTCCTGCACGCGGAGCCAGCGCTGCCGCACCCTGTGAGGCCGCCTAGAACTAAGAAGAAGACGTCGGCGTCGAGTTCGGTGACGGAGGACGAGGGCAGCAAGCCCGTGGAGATGAAGGCGCCTAGAAGAAAGAAGAAGAACTCGGACGTCAAGGCGGAGGACATCCTGGAGGCTCGGGGGAGAAAACGGGAGCCCAGCCCGTGCGAGAAATCGGCCGCCAAAGGTCCGAGCTTCGACTCCGTGAGGAAAAGCTTCGACCCGAAACCCGCGAACGAGACGGAACGACCGAATCCGAAGAACAAGTACGCGATCAACGAAGTAACCGCCGCTCCCGAGAAGCCTAAGATCGAGCAATCCGTCGATTCCGGGAAGATCTACGACATAGGAAGCGCCGGATTGTACGAGAGAGTGTCGAACAGGTACGAGAAGCTGCCTGTGAGAGCGAAGCCGGAGAAACCCGTTAACCAAGAACATCAGAGTCCGCCGAAAGAAGCAGAGGAGGTCAAGAAGAAGATCAAAGAGCCAGAGAAGAAGGGCTCGTACGACGTGAACCGGCCTACGGAGATCGTTGCGAAGAGGCAGCAGCCGTACGCCTGCAGGTCCGAGGTGACGCTCTACGACAGGATCGACAAGCCCGGCTGCAAGGACGAGGAGAACTCGATCTACGAGCGCCACGTGAAGCGCGGCAGCAAGGAGAGGATCTACGAGGAGCACTTCAAGGACGCGGACAAGATCTACAGCATCGCGCAGGAGGACGTTTACAGCGGCAGAAGCAGCAGACTCGACAGAAGCAAGATCAGGGGCTCCCAGGAGGACACGTACCTCGGCAGGTGCTCCAAGAGCGACACCTATCAGCTGATCCAGGAGAAGCGCGGCGACCCCGTGTCCGCGGAGCGCAGACGTTCCAGAGAGGTCCAGGAGAAGACGTCCTCGGGGAGGCGGCTGAGCAGAGTGGTCACCATGGACAAGCCTCTGAAGAAGCACCCCTGCGACCCAGCGGCGAACTTGAACATCCCGGAGTACAGTCAGCCTAGGGTCAGGAAGAGGAGCAGGGCCGGCAGCGAGCCTCCGGTCGGTCGGTCGGAGGACGCGACGATGGTGGTGCAGGAGGGTCGGCTGAAGAGGTCGCAGAGCGACATAGACGTGGACAGGGGCGATCCGATGACCAGGGTGGAGCTGCCCCGGAGAGGAAGCTTCCTGAAGCCGGGCAGCGCCAGGCGGCCCAACAGCATCAAAGGCGGAACGCCGCTGGGATTCACCGAGCTGTTCGACGAGTTCAGGAACCAGGAGGGCCTGACCAGCGTGGACGACATCCTCGCGGCCATCATCGGTAAGCTTCTGATCTCCTCCCGCCGTGCTTCTCCCGTGTGCTCAAGGTTCCGCCTCCTATCCGCAGACCCGGAGGGGATGTCCTTCAACGATCTGAAGCCGCTGTACAAAGAGTTCCTGCTGAAGCTGGCGGCCACGCTGACGCAGGACGAGCTGTATCAGAGGTCGGCCAGCATCATGAGAAGACGACGGAGGCCCCAACGGAGACGGTCCAGCCGCAGGACCTGCCTCCTAGGCAGGGCCATCAAGAGGTCCGTGTCGAGGCTGAAGGGTGGCCCGACGGAGTTCACGTCCGTCATCTTCCCAGCCAGGAGGCTGAACGACAGTTTCGGCAGCAGCTCCTCCTGCGACGTCAGGAACAACCACAGGAACAGGGTGCTGGCCAATAGGCTGGTCAACAGGCGATCCTCCTGGAGGATGAACAAACCTGGCGGATGCCACACCACTTCTGAAGACAGCGACACTTGTAAGTATACCTTAGAGCTGTTCGATAAGCCCCGTGGCGGGCAAGGGCAACGCCACAGGCTGAAAGTTCGTGCGAGGAGCTAAAGGAGGAGCATCGTTGCCCTCTGGAAGTGGGCCCCAGTGCCCACCGATCAGTGTTTGCCCTGAAAATCGCTGCCCGTTCGAACAAACTACCCAACAGCTCCGACTTAGGGGATTTCCAGATCTCGGTGGATGATCGTGGCGCATTTTGCTGACACAGGTAGACGACTGAGTCGCAGCGTGGGCGCAACGGCGAACAGGAGCAGCAGCGGCTACGTGAGCTGCAGCGAGTGCAGCTACGACTCCGAGTCCTGCACCTGCGTCTCCGCCGACAAGTGCTACTGTTCGTTGTCGAGGAGGGTAGCCGCGCAACCACGGGTCGTCGCCAACGCGGTGGTCTGTTCCTGCGACACCGACAGCTGCTCCGAGAGCAACAAATGCTACTGCGCCAGGCAGGCCGTGCAGCCGACGATCCTGGAGCAGCTCAGGCAGAGAGGCATCGTGCCGTCTGAGAGCACCTTGAGCAGAGGCGGGAGCCCGGACGGGATCAGGACGACGAGATCAAGCAGAAATCGGACGCCCTCCCAAGGTTTGGATGTACTCAAGGTAAAGACACTGCACTTGTGCTAGTTGGCAGCGCACCACAGCTACTTTCGTAGATGGACGGCGCACGGCGGGCCCGTTGCATACCAAACGCGGTCAACAGTCATTCGAATTAAATTTAAAAGTTCATTCGAATTAAATTTAAAAGTGCATTCGAATTAAATTTAAAAGTTCATTCGAATTAAATTGAAAAGTTCATTCATTTAATTTGAAAGTTCACTCATTCGATTTAAAAGTTCATTCACGTATACAGTAAATTCTTACTAATTGACCATCAGAAAATGGTCAATCAAAGTGGACAATCTGCGAAGAGGAGGCTCGAATAATAGTGTCTGCTTTCCCCAAATTGTCCATTTGTGTGTAAAAGCTGAGGGTCAATTGTGGGAAGAATTTGCTGCAGTTTTTTGAAAATGTGGGCTACGATTTGGCATGATATTTTTTACCACTTGTTAACTTTGGTGACAAGTAGAGGGTTCTGTAGCGACCTATCTCTTAATCATTTTCAAATAAAATCGTTTTTTATGATTGTGTGATTTTTTCAATTGCATTATGAGAGACAGAACCGAGTCTACCAAGTATATAGTATAATCACAGCAAATTTCCTTTTTATCTTTCTGCTACTTTTTCAGCTATACTTAACCGAATATATTTAAAATTCATTTTATTTTTTTAATTATGCCTGCAATGGTATGCAGCATTATATTACTTTTACATATATTTATTACATGTACTATATTATTACTATTATTATTGCTATTATTGTTATTGTTGCTATTACTATTGTTGCTGTTATTATATCTGTATTGCCGCGTTTGTTTCAGCTGCATTCTATAAACTGAAGTTTTACCTTTATTTAAAAAAAAAAGAACACTAGTTGCCACGACTCGAAACTCCAAACATTGTTGGAAATGCAACAATTTTGTCTCCCACAATTTTTGTTCCAATAATCTAATTTGCTATAAAACTAATGAAAAAATCACACAATTCGAGAGCATTTGTCTCGTGGCTTTCGCGAGTGTCGTATATTTTGCAGGGTGTTTTGTCGAAGCGTTTAGTTCAAACTGTTCATTACTCAAATACATATTTACGTTGAATAATATAAGATATAAAGAGACATATACATAATTTAAAGTAGAAAACGCATTTTCTACCGCGTTTGTACACGCAATGGCCTCACTGTGCGCCGTTTTACGTTAACGATGGAGGTCCTGTGCTTACCGACTCGCGCGTCTGCATCGCCAAAAACTTTACTCGCTTGTTACGCAAATAATTATCATTTCAGTTGTACCGTGTCCGGGGTTATCCTAACCCGGCGTCGATGTAGCACGAAAATGTGACGTGCTACGTGTGATTTCGTATTACATACCCCACTAGAATTCCTCAAACAGAAAAATAGTTCAGAAAAGTAATTTCGATAATGAACATTTCTCATTCAAATAAATGCATTTAAGAGTAACGTTACAAAAAAAGAAATACAAGGCTATCCTTTATACGTCATCATCATCATTATTGTCGCTTTGTCAAGCAGATCGACAATTTAAAAACTGATGAGGTATGTGACACGCAATTTCACACCGACGCCGCCAGGTTAATTAGCGAAACGAGACGAACGCTACGGTAGATGCAAATGCATCGAGGATGAGAAAGGATGAGTAATATTTTGCTTCGCTTGCATTAGTGTGAGATTCACCGACACTCGGCTCATCGCTGGCTCGGTTGTCGACGGTGTTTGACGCTTTTCAATGTTTCCAATGGGCATCCCACAGTGGCGTGGTACATATAAAACTTCGACTCACTTGGAGGTGTTTCTTTTCCCCGTCAGCTGGTCGGGAGAACATTCTGTACCGACAGCCTCTTCCGAATTCCAGAAGCAGTCGTCGTCAAGCTACGGCAGTTCGAACAACCTGGCCCTGGACTACGACCTGTTCAACCCAGGCAGGAAGTCCCAGCAGTCCTCCGACAGCGAGAAGGTGCTAGTGGTCAGCGCAAGAGACACTCAGGGCCGTTTGGTCTACGTCGGTGGCGCGGACAGGGACAAGAAGTGTCTCTCCCACTGTTCCAGCAGATCCGGTGCACACCACGAGGCCCTCTCGATCAAGAAGAGCGCCGAAATAGCAGCCATCTTCGGCGCCGACGCGAATCGGATCAGCAGAAGAGCCAGCAACGCCTCCAGCATCAGGAGCTCGATCAGCCTGGAAGCCGGTCTCGGCTATCTACCCTGATCCACCCCTTCCTTTGATGCATCCCTTTTCAGTCGCGCGCCCTCTTCTCCCCGGAAAGTTGGACGAAGACGGAGCAATATCGTGGAATCGTCGATGCTAAGGGCGCCAAAGAATCTCAGGCAAGACACGAACCTTATCTGAGCATCTGTCTGTTTTCTTCTTTTTGGGGACTAAAAGAACGCACGATATCGTGTAGAATTAAGCGACCAGCTGTGTCGCAGCTGTGCCGAGAACGATTTGACTGTGGATACCAGTGGCGATCGTATCGTTTATGCTATAATATCTACGTTATTGTATTAGGGTGTCCCATAAGTTCTTTCCCTTTTTCCGATGCGAAATGATTACACGATATTTGTTGTTTAAGGTTGATTTATTGAGCTACGTACGAACTATTCTGCTCCGTTACCTTCTTCCATCTTTCGGGAAGCCTCGTTATGCCAGCTTTCCAAGATCGTTTGAGGCTTATTTGCAAAATATTGATCAAGGTGCGTTTTTATTTCGCTTGCGAATTTGAACCGTTCTTCGCGGAGAGAATTTTTTAACGAGAAGATCAAGCAATAACCGGATGGCGCAATGTCTGGGGAGCACGGGGGATGAGGTAGAACGTCCCAATTAACACTTAGCCAACCGAACGGGGAGATCTACCCGTTTTAAATTCAGTCGGTTGACGATCGAATGGATGATTAATCAAAAATTAAAAATGATTGCCTAATTTTATTAAGATTTGCAAGAGGTACGAATGCTGAAGAAGTAATCGATGCCATATAAGTTTGCTTCATAATTTTGGTTTAATCGAATGAAATATCTTAATTTTATGAAAATTTTTCGGCTTTCTAGCGCGGTCGTGGAAGTGTTAAAGTGCAATAATTGTTGTCTTATGACCAACGCAAACATACGGTTTTGCGTTGTCGTGACGAAAATTTGATGGTGTGGAACTTCGAATCGATTCACATATCCCATCTTGATTAAATGCTTATGCACCGTTGTCCTGGGTATGTTAGTGGCATCCGCTATCTCGCGCACGCTATATCGCGGATTTTCAGCGAGCATATCTTTGATAAGGTCCGCATCCGTCGTTGTTGTACGACCGCTGCGGTCTTCATCTTTCAAAATCATAATTGCCAGCTCTAAATCTCTCAAACCAATCGCGGACTGTCCTAACAGTCGTAGAACCATCGCCGTAAAACGGTACAAATCTCGTTCGCAGTGTTCTTTGCCCTATCACTTTTTTTATTAAAGCAATGAAGCATAACTTCTTTTGGCTCTATATATCCACACATATTGAACGGCGTAGAAAAGATTTTATAAGGAACTTCGTCACCAACGAAACGTACTCTAAAAGAGCTTTGGGACGACTGAAACCGATACTCTAAATAGCCAAGAGATGAGCCTGCCTGTTTATATGTATAAACACAACCAGTTTAAATTATTCATATAGCGCGGCGCGGAAAGAACTTATGGGACACCCTAATATTCGGTAGTATCGCCGGTTAATGAAACTAGTTGTACGACGAGATTTATTTGTGCTGAGAGCCGGTCGACGGGAACACGGATGAGTTTCAGCGAGAACGAATCAAGGGAGAAAGAACGATGAGTGTACCGGGCATACGGGTATTAATTAAATAACGGTGCTGTGTTATCTACGTGCTGCGCAGAAATGTGTCGGAAATGTACCAGCTAACTTTTTTCGTAACGGTATCGTAGCCTCGTTTCTGCGAGAGTTGATCTCGGCGAAAGAGTCGCTCGGTAATCGGGCGCGCTGAATTTTAGCCTCCGAATAGAAAACGAAAGGAACACCGAATCCGCGAAGTTGCCTGTTGCTCTCCGTTGTCGGCAGCTTCGGCGCGAGGCTGTCGTTTCCGCTCGCCGATGGTAAAATTTCAGGCGGATAACACGGCCGACACGAAACCGCAACAATGCTTCTCGAATCGAAGACAGTCCTCGGAAGGTCGTGCTCGAATTGTGATTCTTTTTGTTTACTGTTACTTTTATTTGTTCGTTTGTTTCTTGCTACGCCGGACCTGAAAAACAAATACTTCATAACTAATCACGCTAAGTCGAATCAAAGAAGGGGGACAGTGCAATAATCGTGGATGTAATATAAATACATACGTGGTAACTGCAGCCCCGTTTCTCGCGGGGCGAATCGTTGTTCCTCGCGTTGTGTACAGTGAGCGAGGTGTCCGTGAAATGGAACGAAAGCGTTGTTATTCGTTAAGTTTATTATATACAGGCATTCTACAGTATCATGTACTATTAATAAAGTCTTCGTCCATTCGATGGAACTTCTCTGTGTACTCGGCCGGGACCTCGACGTCCTTCAAATTGTCTAAACCTATCTCCGCCTCGGTTTTAATTAGAATGTCCACGACGTTCTCGCAGGCCAAAAGGGCGTTTCTGCTTTTCTCCCATTTGTGGTACTCTCTGAGTATCGCGTAAGCGTTCTTCTCCCTTAAAACTTCTCTGCCGTGCTTCGTGGCGCATAATTGCGCTAACGCTTCCAGCAATATTATCCTGAAACATCGATGACGGTAGAGGAATTATTGCTAGATCGAAAGCAATTTTTCTTAAGTCGTTCCACATTACCTGATGTCCAAGTCAGGCTCCCTCGTCTTCGTTTCCGGCAGATATTGTAAACTAATCGGCAGCTTGTCGTTTTCCTCGTCGTCGAACTCTTCCGGACCAGCTAAGGGTAGCAAAAGATAAGACAGGATGTCTACTGCCGGCGTTAACAGCCATTCGTGGTTTTCAACGTCGAAACAGCAGTTTTTCAACGTGCCGACAATTCCGCCTCGTCTGACTATGCTGTCGGCGTATTCTGTGAACGGTAGTAGTCTTTGGATGACACTGCGGTCTTTATCCATTAAGTATCTGTACTCAATTTTGAAAACGAGTTTGTTATGCGTTCGAGGTGTTAGCGTAAAATATTAATTGGCCCGTGATCACCTTCTGACTCTAGAAGATTGACTGAGATTGCTAAACACAGGACCCAGGTAATGCAATTTAGCACCGGTGTTATTATACTGCTTGGCAGTGAATGCAGCCACAACGGTGTCCCACGAGTAGCCACTATTTTCGATGAGCGTAATTACTCTGTCCACTAAATGCAATGGCCTGGTCATGTTCGAGAGTATCATACAGGACGGATCAGCCAAGATACTTTCCTTGTCCATTATAAATCTGGAAATGTTTCAAAGATAATGAAAAGGTAATAAATAATTTTTTCTGGCTATAGAGTGTAGTATGTGTGAGTAGAATACGCACCTAAGACAGACGTGTATTAAATTGTAATTGTATTTAAGATCATGGCTCTGCTTCAGGGTTTCTGAGATTACAAGGAATGCACTGGTTCCTGCTTCTTCTGCTGTTATATTTATTATTGCCAACGCTGCATCTTTGGAAACAGCTGTCGACGAGTCCTGCATTAGGACAATTAACTGAGTTAATAAGTCAGGCAACTTTAGCAGTAGTTCACGACCCTCGGCAGATCCAGTTACACCTGTTAAACAATATTAAGGGTATAGAAAAAGAAATAGTGATTGAGGTTAAAAAATATCTCTAGTTTATAAATGCTTACTCAAAACGTGCTGCAAAGCAACTGCCTTTAGGTCCAATCGTGATTCTGAACGCAAGAATCCGCATATTTCTTGGAGAGCTTCCATTGCGAATAAATAATTATTTACAATGAGCACAAGTGAAACACGTGTTCTTAGTAGCTCCGAATGAGGAGCTCTCGTAAAAAATTAAATTTTACAGTGTCAAAGCCATAATATTTGCACTTTTACGATTGAAAAACCTGACAGACACCCTTAGCAATGTACATGTAATTATTATTCGTACATTCGAATCGTAATTTATTAGTTATAAACGATTTTCAGTTTTATGTTCTAGTATCGTATTTTGGAGCAAATAATTCGTGCCGTTCTTTTCATAAGAGGCTGTGTTAAATCCGGCACGAATTTTCTGCTGCTTGCAAACGACCGAATAGCGACACTTCACTGCAGCGGCAAAACGCCCAAACTGTTCGCCGAATAGTAAGTTTGGCGCACAAGAGATAGCGCCACCATACAAAATTTGTAGTAGACCTAGATAATGAAATTTTCTACTTTTTTTTTATATATCCTAAATCTTTGTTAGAGTAGTATATATTTGTGAATTACTTGCAGTTTTCGATATTTTTTTGAGGAATGTCATAAACTTTTCATCAGTACAAATCAATGAGAAGAAAGGCGTCGAAAAATTTTGACCGCCAAACTTTCCGTTAATTATATTAATTATTTTCAATAGAATATACACAAAGTTTTCAAGACTTATATTTGATTTGCATTGCTTCGTACGCAGAATGCATAAATAATTTTAAACGCTTGATTCACAGTTCTATTACATGACTTTCATTTTGTCACTTTTCCAGACGTAATCTGTTTTACCATAATGTATCGATGTCTAAGGGTTCACTAAATTTAATAACAAACGAATATTAAAATTGCCGGCAAAAAAGGAAATTAACTATTGTCAAAGAAATAGAAAATTTCATTACCTACATCTACCACGGATTTTGTATGGTTGCGCCATCTGTTGCGCGCCAAACTTATCATTCGGCGAACAGTTTGGGCGTTTCGCCGCTGCAACGAAGTGGCGCTATTCGGTTGTTTGCAAGCAGCAGAAAATTCGTGCCGGATTTAACACAGCCTCTTATGAGAAAAGCGGCACGAATCAATTGCTCAAAAATTCGATATTAGAACATAAAACTGAAAATCGTTTATAACTAATAAATTACGAATCGAATATACGAATAATGATCCTAAATACATTCCTAAGTGTATCTGTTAGCTTTTCCAATCATAAAAGTGCACACATTACGCCCGCAATATCACAAAATTTATATTTCAACAAGGACTCTCTCTTTGAGAGCTGATCGTTTGCAAAAAGAATTAATTATGTGAAGATCAGAGTAAACAAAATTAAACCTCGGTCACAGAACTATACAGTAGAACCTACTGCATCGATATCATATAAAAAAAAGCAAATTATACTACTACAGAACATAACTAATTAACGTAAAACTTACTTAGGTAACAAAAAGCAATTATCTTTATTTCACATTGCTGACATCTGTTCTTTTCATATTACACATACAACTGGTTAGTAATCTTGCGTGACTCAACATTCATCGATCTTTATTCGAACCTTAACTAAAACGATTGCGATAAGATTTCGTAGAATTTCCGAACGGCGGGATGATTCACAAACACAAGTCCCGGAAGCAATCGTCCCGATAATCCGGCACCGCGGCACCGGCGTAAGGCTGGCCTCAAATCAGCCGATGTAGAAACAACAGAAGCACCGCAGAAATTCCTAGGATCGCGTGTCGAGCCGCTGGAACAGCGAAAGAAAGAGGGGGTACTCGTTTAAAAATCGAGTTCACCGAATTGGTTCGCGACGGCGCAATTCCTTCTACTTAACCTTTGCTGCAGCCCGGCTCTCCTAGCGCGCACAGGCACTCGCCGTTTCTGCATTCAAGGACCTGCCCGTTGTTCCTGCACTCGTCGCTGTTCTTGCACAGATTGTAGAGACCTGCCGGGCAAGCGTTATCGGATTACAGATAAGACTCGTCGCGCTCGCAACCTCTCGACGAATCTAAAAAGATACCTCGCGTTTGGATGCATTTGCCGGTCGTGTTGCTGAAATGATAGTTGCTGATGCATTTGCAGCGTTCCCCGAGGCACATCGCCCGGCCCATGGAATCCTGGCAGTCGTCATCCCTTTGGCAGCGATCGCCCTCCGCCGTCGGCCCTGCAACAGACGATTCGCCCTGCAAGATTCCGTCTCGTAGACTACAGTTTCGAGATTTCACTCACTGCTGATGCAGTTCGACGAGTTCCGCGTGTCCAACAGATAAGTGTCCTTGCAGGCGCATTTCCCTTGCCGGCATCTGGCGTGTGCCATCGTCGAGCACTCGGCGTCGCTGGCGCAGGACGTCCCCTCACCTGGACAGAATCAAACGTGTTTCATTCGGGAAGAACCGGAACAACGCGGCCAAAGGAGACACCCACTCGCGATGCACATCGACTTGTCGGCCGTCGGCGAATAATACGTTTCGCAGGCGCAGACCTTCTGATAACGGCAGAACGCGTTGTCCATGCAGTTCCGGTCCCTCAGGCACGGATCCCCGTACTTCACCGTGCGGAACTGGAACTCCAGGTCTGAAAAGAACAAGTCTTTACGTTTCGGTGCCGTCCGTCGAACGTCCGTCGGGACGTTCGATATCGTACCTTGCTGCCCGGAGCACCGCAGCGGCCCGCATACGGCCAACAGCAGCGTCGTCGCGACGATATTCTGGACACTCATCCCGGATGCACAGGTCCCGCGAGGAGATCCGCCTCGTCTAACGCCCTAAGTCGTAACAATCACAAGCGGCCGCGACGCGCAAGTCGGTGCACACCCTGCTCCGATAATGGTTATCTCTGCGGGCGTGTGATAACCGTACCTTGTTTCCTCCATACGGCGACAATAATCGAGATAACGCAATCGGCCGAAACGCTCTCCCTCTAATCTCAAGGCCCGCGCGATCGAGCTCGCCGGAAGATCGATCCGTTGGCCATTGACTTCGAACCTCGCGGGATCGTTGGACGCTTTAAACGAGGTGACGAGCTTAATGTGTCCGCGACGAATAGGGCACCGGTGCCGGTTACTGTGGCCTCGTTAACGTGTGCCTCTGGCTCGTTTCTCGTGATTCGTTTGATATTTAGAGAATGAGACGTAGCCGATTCCTTGTATCGGAACGTCGATGGCGTGAAAGATTAGAGAAACTTAATGTGGGTTAATGTGGGGGGACTAATTACTGTGTCTCGGGTTTGTTTTTCATAATTGTCTTTGTGATTATTGAATCGGATATAAACTGAATTTTTATTAAAAACTAGACAGAATAAAAGGATAAAGGAAATTTAATTTCTCTTACTGATTTGTTTTTCATGATTGATTTGATATTTCTCGAGTAAGATATATTCAATTCTTATATTATTATATATATATATATATATATATATATATATATATATTATTATATATATTCTTATATTAATTTG